CTCTCTCTCTCTCTCTCCCTCCCTCTCTCTCTCTCTCCCTCTCTCTCTCTCTCTCTCCCCCTCTCTCACTCTCTCTTCCTCTCTCTCTCTCTCTCTCCCCCCCTCTCTCTCTCTCTCTCCCTCTCTCTCTCTCTCTCCCTCCATTAGTTCTTGTGTATCTGATCCAATTAAGAGTATTATGTGTCGTGTTGACCTGATGAGTTCTTCATTCTTATCATCTTTCAAATCAGTGAGTACATGTACATGTACACACGTCATGTATTGTACATGTACATGTATATAATGGCTATTATTTCCCTGGGGGAGGGGTCTAAAATTATAATAATTAGCAGGGGGTGATTTTTTATAGAATTTTAAAATTAATACATGTACATGTATTATTGATACATGTACATAAACTACATGTACGTTACATGTGTACAAGATTAATTTCTTTTTATTTTTTAGGATTTATTTGAATCTCCTGATAACTTTGCTCTTGTTCGTCTCCAGCTCACTAAGTCATTATATTACAAGTTATTAACGTTAATTATCACTGATGAGGAGAAGAAGCAAAAACTATCAACCAACAAGCAGCTGTCAATACAGGTCAGTGATCATGTGACAGTCACGTGATAACTTGTAATTATTAATGTACTCTATATTAGCTGGTGATTTTTGAATGGTAAAATTTTAGCGAGGTTAAAAGGCTTCAGTTGGCAGGTTTTGAATGTACATGTACAGTGTACATATACATGTTGTACATGTACATATATGTACAACTATGAAGTAACTATACTTCATAGTTGGAGTACCAGTATCCATTTTACTTTGCTACTCTACAGTGTAGCACATCAGAGGATACTGTAGTCCTTCACAGTCATGTGTACTGTACTAAAAAGTTTTGTATATACATGTACTTATACAAAACAATGTAAATACTGTTTTGTCTTAAATACTGTGAGTATTTGTTAGTTTTGTGTATGTGTACTGTACTATTGACACTGACACACTCCACAACCTGTCAAAGAAGTTGAAGATGCTTCTCTTGTCTTTATGTGTTGTCCCAGTTCATTTGTACTGTCACTCTCTCTTTTTAGAAGCTCATTTAGGACATTCTTCACTCCATTCTACTGTCTATCTACTGTCTACTGCAGATCAACCTTTTTTAAAATTTCTCACCTCTTTGCTTAAGGAAAGTATCACTATAGCGAAGAAAAAAAATGATATTAACTATTTCAACATTTTCTTCCTTGAGTATTTTTCAGAATTTTGGCGTTTTCTTAAAATGGCCTTAACTGAAAAAATTGAAGTCGGAATCAGCTCAAACTTTCTACACAGCATAAGGACATCAATATGTATCAGAAAATGTAATAAAAATTTGGGGTGATTTCAGAGCCATTTTTCAGAAAAAACTATGGGCTATAGCCTTGGGTATTTTTCAGAATTTTGGCGTTTTCTTCAAATGGCCTTAACTGAAAAAATTGAAGTCGGAATCAGCTCAAACTTTCTACACAGCATAAGTATATCAATATGTATCAGAAAATGTA